TTAACATAAAAAAGATTTTACATCAGAGAGTTATTCCTATTAATGAAATCAGATTCAACAAAGTGGTAAAAGTAGAAGCCAGAGTACAGTGGCCAGGGAAGAGTGCAAGATGAAGAAATAGAAACTGTGAAGGAAGACAGACTTTTAAGGATTAGACAAGGAAAGGGAAGTGAAAATAGCAAGACAAAAAGACTTCTTTAAGGAAGGAATTTATTTCATGTTATTTTTTAAATTAGAGATGCTTGAACATGTGAGTATAGGCTATAGGAAAGTACCCTTATAAAGGAGAAATTGAAGGGAGAAAATGGAGAGGGGATAATCAATGGAGACAAGTCCTAGGGAAAACTACCTGGGATGAGGTCAGAAACACAGGTGGAAGTGATTATAAATTTGACAATGTGGTTATAGACTATTCCATGAACATTTATAAGAGAAGGTTGATTTCCTGACATTTTCTAAAGTTCCCCACTGGACAGAACCATAATGTACTTTGTATGCTTAAAGGTATTCATTAATATTTCAGTGCAGCTGAATGTTTTTATGATTAGGTTGTCTTATACAAAACTACTTAAATAACTCCTTATTACCCCCTAAAATTTATTCATAAAGGCATATGTGTCACTGTTCTTTAAAGATCTCTCCTTTAATTAGTATTTTCTTATTTCCTATTTATGCTATGAGGAATTATATATTAACATATTGTCTTGGATTTAACCCAGAGCAAATATAAATGATATTCAGAGAAAAAGAAAAGCCTGATTTCAATTTTACTTGCTATACCTCTGCTGAGTACCTCATTAGTGCTTTAATTCATGCAGAAAAGGTTAAAATGTACCAAAAGTGACAATTCCTAAATGGAGAACACTGTACATCTTGCTCACTCTTGCCATAAAGTACAATCATTCTGGGGAAAGGAAAGTGCTAGGAAAGAGTTGTCAAAGCTGGTAGTTGAGTTGAGTTACCATATGGCTCTCTGAGATGTAGGGACGTCAGAAGCAAAAGGACCTGGATGAATAAGATCACATTATTTCTCTGGGAAATAGATGAATTAATTGGCTAGAGAGGATACTGTTATGTCCACTTTCATAGGATCCTTTAGAACTTCTATACAACTGAAATATAACTTCTTAAGAGACTCTAATACGGCCTGGGCTTATAAATGCAAATTAAAATAAAGAATTGAAGGGGTAGCTGCTTTTTTTCCTCACATCATCTGTTGTTCTCTGGTTAGCTGCCTATGTTGGCAACAATTGATCTGAAGAGGAAATCAGAACAACCGATGATGTGCAAATAATCCCATTTGTACATTTAAGAAACAAACCCCTTCCTTTTACAGTCACACTTTTGCATGTATCACATTAGGCCTTCACGCCTATGAGAGATGAAGATTATATACAGAAATACAGAAACCAGAAAGTCCAATCCTCCAAAATACTTTCAGGTTGAAGTATCTCTACTTGGCCTATATACATAGAACCATTGTATTTCTTTTTAAAAATCATTTGTCATTACTCCTCACTATAAATAAATTTAGTTAAATTTCAGTGTTATAATTATAATGAATTGATATTATTGTGCATTTCAAATCCCAAAGGAGTATCCCTCCTCCAGTTTATTTTCTCCAAATATTTTATTTTCCCTAGTTTTACTTAGCTGGAGGTTACCCTTTAAGTTCTAGACTATGGGTCCAAATGAGTTTTCTCAGCTACCCTTGAGGTAGAACAAACAATGAGATATTTAAGCAGAGCATTGGGAAATTATATTGGGAACAAGTCTTCCTGGTTGTATTTTTTAGTGTTTGGTCCAGCTGATAATATTCTTTTTTAGACAGCTCAAATGAATAATTAGATGCTGATTTTTACATATGGGTAACTAAGCCATTAAATATATTACATCATTTCAACAATAGTATCATAACATGATTTAATAAGGAAACCATGCTAGGTTCTAGATAAAATAAAATTATGCAAATACAGTCATTGTCCTCATGTGCAAAGACATCATTTAATTAACAAAAGTACATGTTATATCAATATAGAACTTGGCAAGTTTCAAAGCAACTCATATACATCTACTTAATGCTCATCATAGCTGTATGCTGCAGACATCTGGGAATTAAAATATAGTATGCCAAGTTCAAATTAGAAATTAAAGTGTATTTATAAGTGCATAGTAAAGATGGTCCATACCCAAGTAAGAGAGATGAGATAATTAAGTACAGATTCCTGGGTTCAAACAAGTTTACTTCTAGGAATTTCTCCTATGGAACTACTCATTGTTTTGGGGGGATCGTTGGCCAGAGTCGAAGTAAGATTTTATTTTTTGCCAGGCCACAAATTTATTAATAGGTCATGTTTATAAGATAGTGAGTTAAATTCAAACCTTGAAGAGATAAATATTAATCAAATAGGTTTTCCCCCAAATAAGTTCTTTTCATATATACTCAGGATAATATTAAGTAATAATCAGATTCAGGCCTCTGCTGGTACAATTTTTTTTAACTGTTTCATATGTTCAAGTGCACATGTAATCACTGCATATTTAAACTCAGTCTTATAAAGGGCAAATTAATGTTTTTCCATGTCCAACCAGAACATAACTTGCTCAATATTTTCCCTTTTTTAAGTGCCCTGAAACCCTTTGTTATAAGCAGCATGATTAAGAAGACATCCAATGAAAACTTTATTTTATCAATGTGGGCACTGAGGGGCAAGCTTCTTATGTTTGCTTACAGAAATATTGCAGTAAAGTTTTAAGCATGTGAAAAATCTCAAATATCTAATGCTGTCTTTTCCTTTTCTTTATTTCATAGGACTTATAAACATCTAAATTTTACTATACTAAGCTCTGCTTACAGTTTACTAAGTACATATGTTCACATAAAAGAAGCATTTTCACATGGAAAATAACCAAGGCTTTGACTTACCCAGGTGGTATTGTCCAATTTGATCCCCTTGACACTCATACAACTGTGCAAGGATTATATACATACACGTGCACACACACACACACACACACAACTACAAATGTGCAATTAATATCCTTATATACTTATTTATCCAGATGTGAAATGCACCTTCATTTGTAATAGTAAACATTGATAGCGATCTAAATATTTGTAAATAGGGAATTCAATAAATGCAATCCAGCATATAGGTAAAAAGAGCACTATAAACCTAAAACAAAATAAAGGAACTCTACATTTACTGAAATTTAAAAGATATCCACAATGAACTAAATATGATATTTTATAAAAAATATATGTATATATATATTCATCCATATATTTATGGAAAGATGTATAATACGCTGTTAAAAGTGGTTATCTTAAGATTATGGTACAATTTCCAAATTCACCTAATAGATTTTTTGTCTTTATAGCACATATGAATTACTTAATAAGAAAATAAATGTATGAAATAATATGAAAAGCTATGCACGGCACAATTTTACTCACATAAAACATGTACTTATGTTTCTATATGAATGAAAATGCCAGGAGGATACATACCTAATTCTTAATAAGGATTCTCCATTTCCACTTTTTAAAAAATATTTGAATGTTTTATAACCATTATGCATTACAGAATAATCTGTACCTAGTAATCTTTGCTATTACATGAATTTAGTAATGTTCACTACATATTAGCATTCTCTAAGCAAGAGCAACTCTTTCCCCTCTCAATTTATGCTCATTAGAGAAATATGATACTCTAATATTCTAAAGAGTTGGATAACCTTCTAAAGTAATAAAATTACTAATTAAAATGTATTACCATTTCTGAGTAATAGTAAGATAGTGGTCTTTTTTTGAAATTTCCTTCAGAGAATATTTGTCCTTTAACAGTTAATACGTATATTTTTAAAGATTTTATTTATTTGAGAGAGAGAGAGCATAGAGGAAGAGTGAAAGGGAGAAGCAGACTCCCCACTGAGCAGAGAACCTAATGTGGGGCTTGATCCCAGAACCCTGAGATCATGATCTGAGCTGAAGGCAGACACTTAACCAACTGAGCCACTCAGGTACCCCAGTTAATATATTAATTTTTTTTATTATTTTGGTCAAAAAGTGATTCAAGGGGAATGATTAAAATAATGTCCTTCAGTAAATAATAAAGACTTTGGGTGCATATGGTATATTTTAATGGGAATCGTTTCTGGTAACTAAAATCCTGATTCTCATGTTTAAAATATAGTTGAGAAAATAATACCTTTACAATTTTCAGTTTCTTAATTTCATTTAATTTCGTATTTACCCTTAAAACTAAAATATTTTGACTTAGATTGAAAAAAACTAAATGAATGAATAGGAAATTCCATAAATAAAGTCACTTTAACCAATTTTTGGAAATGATTATGGAATATCAAATTTGTACATACAGGTGAAACAAAAAGTACATCTGATTTTCAGGGCAAGTAAAAAATATTCAGCTTTTTTTCTTTTGCTTTTTAACTCTGGTTAACTCTGCAGGCTTTTCTGATAGTATTGTATGTACCCACTGACTTTATGTAGGACTATCTCTCAGTGGGAAAGAGAAATATGACTATGGAAAAATAAATCCCATTTTATAACCTGTGAAAAATTAAACAATACTCTTGATTCACCAAACACCATAATTCAACTTCTTTGTGATATCTTTATTTAAATTTTGTCACATATGAACACATATCATCATGTACTAACTAAGGAAACCAGGTTAAAGCTCAGTTGATTAACTGAAGGAAGAAGTATATATCACATAATTCCTTGTGTAATTAAATAGGCATTTCCATGTAAATAACATGAAGGGTGTACTTTAGGTAAAGTTTTATTATCTGAAAAACAACTGCAATTATTGTCATTAAATTTTTTGAATGGAAAAGAAATTTATGGGAAGTCATAAGACTACCATCATAAAATATGATCAAGCTATCAGAAAATGTTTTTATTTTTTTTAAAGACAAACATTTTATTTAGTTTTTTAAATTTTTTTATAGAATATGTTTTTAAAAATATACCTGGGTTTAAGCAGCTGAAGCAAGATGGGTCAAAGTCAGAGTGGTGGTTATGACCCTGGAGGTGGCAAGAAGGATGCCAAGGACAAGAAAAAGATGAACCTGTTGTACCAACCAGAGTGGGGAAAAGGAAAGAAAAAAACAAAGGGAAAAGATATTGCCAGTAAGCTGCCACTGGTGACACCTCACAGTCAATGCTGGTTAAAATTATTGAAGTTAGAATTAAAGACTATCTATGGAGGAAGAATTCATTAGGAATCAGGAACAAATGAAACCTTTAGAAGAAAAGCAAAGGAGGAAAGATCAAAGGCAAATGATCTGAGGGGGACCCTGATGTCAGTAGGAACCTTGGAAGAGATCACTGATGAAAATCATGTCATCCTGTTTATATCTGTGGACTCAGAACACTATGTCAGCATTCTTTCCTTCTAGACAGAAATCTGCCAGAACCAGGCTGCTCTGTCCTGCTCAACCACAAGATGCATGCTGTCATAGGGGTACTCATGGATAACACAGATTCCTTGGTCAAAGTGATGAGGGTAGAAAAGCAACCCCCCCCCCGGCCCGGAAACTATGCTGATACTGGGGGGGTTGGACAACCAAATACAGGAATTTAAGGAAGCTGTGGAGCTTCCTCTCACTTATCCTGAATATTATGAAGAGATGGGTATAAAGCCCGCAAAGGGGATCATTCTCTATGGTCCACCTGGCACAGGTAAAACCTTATTAGCCAAAGAGGTAGCAGGCCAAACCTCAGCCAATTTCTTGAGAGTGGTTGGCTTTGAACTTATTCAGAAGTACCTAGGTGATGAGCCTAAACTTGTTCAAGAATTGTTTTGAGTTGGAGAGAAAAGATGGTGGAGGAGTAGGGGACCCTATTCCAACTGCTCCCTGGAATTGAGCTAGATATCTACCAGACCACTCTGAGCACCCATGAAATCAGCCTGAGATGTAAGAAGATCTGGATCTCTACAAACAGAATATGGCAGGCAGTTGGTTCCGAGGTACAAAGCAGGGAGCCGTGATTCCATGGGCAGATATCAGAGGATAAACAGCAGCTGGGAGGGAGCCTGGTCGTGGGGCTCCTACACTGCCAGTGAGCGAAAGCCTCCCGCGCTGGGGACGGGACACAGACTCGCAGACCAGTAGCCGTGCAGAAAGAACTTTAGGGCAGCCCCCGGGACAGAAACCCGGAGTGGCAGGGTTTCGAGTGCGAACTGGGAGTGGCTGGCAGTTTTAGAAGCACAAAGGGCAGAGACGTGCCCCGACCTGGAGGCAGGACTGGGAGAGCTACGGAGTGGTGCACTACCCAGGACACTGCAGTTTATAGCAGCACAGACAGAAACGGAGATAGTGTGGCTTGGAAAGCTCACTGAGGAACAGACTGCAATCTCTCTGCTCTGAGGCAGAGGGTGGGAAATGCTCTCTGCTGCTCTGACTCTTGGAAGAGATGTGGAAAGCCTCCAGGGAAAGCCCCAAAGGCCCCAAAAAACTGGTTCTCCCACCACAGGGGGGCAAGGCAACTCTGCCCAAACAGGGCTGCCTGAGTAACAGTGTGGCAGACCCCTCTCCCAGAAGACAGGCTGGGAAAACAAGAGGCCAGCAACCTTCAGTTCCCTAGAAAACAGGTGCATCTTGCTTGGGTTCTGGTCAATAATTTGGACTCTATACATTCCCTCAACCACCCATCAACAGAATGACTAGGAGGAGGAACCCCCAAATAGAAAAGACTCAGAGATTATGATTTATGCAGCAGATTTACAAATGGATGCAGATATAACCAAGATGTCAGAGATGGAATTCAGGCTAGCGATTGTGAAGACAATAGCTAGAATGGTAAAATCAGTTAATGGCAACATAGAGTCTCTTAAGGGCAGAAATGAAAGCTGAATTGGCAAAACTTAAAAATGCTATCAATGAGATCCAATCTAATCTAGATAATCTAACAGCTGGGGTAAGTGAGGCAGAAGAATGAATTAGTGACCTGGAAGACAATTTAATAGATAAAAAGGGAAAAGAGGAGGCCAGGGAAAAACAACTCAGAATCCATGAAAATAGAATCAGAGAAATAAGTGACACCATAAAACATTCCAATGTCAGAATTATTGAAATCCTGGAGGAAGTGGAGAGAGAGGGAGAGGACTAGAAGATATATTTGAGCAAATCGTAGCTGAGAACTTCCCTATTCTGGGAAATGAAAAAAACATTCATGTCCTAGAGGCAGAGAGGACCCCTCTCTCCCAAGATCAAGGAAAACAGGCCAACAACCCGACATGTAATAGTAAAACTCGCAAATCTTAAAACAAAGGAAACCATATTAAGGGCAGTTAGGGGGAAGAGATTCCTTATGTACAAAGGGAGGAACATCAGAATAATGTCAGACCTATCCACAGAGACCTGGCAGGCCTGAAAGGCCTGGCAAGACACATTCAGGGTACTAAATGAGAAGAACATGCAGCCAAGAATACTTTATCCATCAAGGCTGTCATTTAGAATAGATGGAGAGATGCAGAGCTTCCAAGACCAGCAGAAACTGAAAGAATATGTGACCACTAAGGCTGGCGCCTTGCAAGAAATATTAAGGGGGGTTCTATAAAAGGAGAAAGACCCCAAGAGTGATATACAACAGAAATTTACAGGGACAATCTATAAAAACAGTGTCTTCAGGGCAACATGATGATGATTAATTCATATCATTCAATAATCACTCTGAATGTGAATGGCCTAAATGCTCCCATAAAATGGCATAGGGTTGTAGACTGGATAAAAAGACCCATCCATATGCTGTCTACAAGATACTCATTTTGAACCTAAAGATACAGCCAGACAGAAAGTGAAGGGATGGAGATCCATCTTCCACGCCAGTGAACCTCAAAAGAAAGCTAGGGTAGCAATTTTTATATCAGACAAATTAGATTTTAAACTAAAGTCTGTAATTAGAGACACAGAAGGACACTACATCATTCTTAAAGCGTCTATCCAACAAGAAGATCTAACAATTGTAAATATCTATGCCCCCAACATGGGAGCAGCCATCTACATAAGCCAACTGTTAACCAAAATAAAGAGTCATATTGATAACAATATGTTAATTGTAGGAGACCTCAATACTTCACTCTCAGCAATGAACAGATCATCTAAGCAGAAAATCAACAAGGAAACAAGAGCTTTGAATGACACACTGGACCAGATGGACCTCATAGATATATATACAGAACATTCCAACCTAAAACAACAGAATACTCATTCTTTTCAAGCGCACATGGAACTTTCTCCAGAGTAGACCACATACTGGGTCACAAATCAGGTCTCAACTGATACCAAAAGATTGAGATTATTTCCTGCATATTTTCAGACCACAGTGCTTTAAAACTGGAACTCAATCACAAGAAAAAATTTGGCAGAAATTAAAACACTTGGAAGCTAAAGACCACTCTGCTCAAGAATGTTTGGGTCAACCAGGAAATCAAAGAAGAACTTAAACAATTCATGGAAATCAATGAGAAAGGAAAAAACATCCGTCCAAAACCTATGGGATACTGCAAAGGCGGTCCTAAGGGGGAAATACATAGCCATCCAAGCCTCACTCAAAAAAATAGAAAAATCCTGAATTCACCAACAAACTGCACACCTTAAAGAACTAAAGAAAAAGCAACAAACGATGCCTAAGCCATGCATTGGAAGAGAAATAATTAAGATTAGAGCCGAGATCAATGAATTAGAAACCAGAAACACAGTAGATCATATCAACAAAACTAGAAGTTCGTTCTTTGAAAGAATTAATAAGATTGAGAAACCACTGGCCAGACTTATCCAAAAGAAAAGAGAAAGGACCCAAATTAATAAAATTATGAATGAAAGGGGAAAGATCACGACTAACACCAAGGAAATAGAAATAATTATTAGAAATTATTATCAACAAGTATATGCCAATAAACTGAGCAACGTGGATGAAATGGAGGCCTTCCTGGAATCCTATAAGCTGCCAAGACTGAAACAGGAAGAAATTGAAAAACTGAATAGGCCAATAACCAGTAACGAGATTGAAGCAGTGATCCCAAACCTCCCAAAAAACAAGAGTCCAGGGCCTGATGGATTCCCTGGGGAATTCTACCAAATATTCAAAGAAGAAATAATACCTACTCTCCTGAAGCTGTTTCAAAAACTAGAAACAGAAGGAAAACTTCCAAACTCATTCTATGTGGCCAGCATTACCTTAATCCCCAAACCAGGCAAAGACCCCATCACAAAGGTGAATTTCAGACCGATATCCCTGATGAATATCGATTCCAAAATCCTCAATAGGATCGAACAATACATTAAAAGGATCATCCACCATGACCAAGTGGGATTTATCCTTGGGATGCAAGGGTGGTTCAACATTTGCAAATCAATCAATGTGATAGAACACATTAATAAGAGGAGAAAGACCATATGGTCTTCTCAATTGATGCAGAAAAAGCATTTGACAAAATACACCATCCTTTCCTGATTAAAAGTCTTCAGAGTATAGGGATAGAGGGAACATTCCTCAAGTTCATAAAATCCATCTATGAAAAACCCACAG